GGGGCTCCTAACCCTCCTTCTGGGGCTCCTAATCCTCCCACTGGGGCCCCTAACCCTCCTTCTGGGGCTCCCAACCCTCCCTCTGGGGCTCCTAACCCTCCTTCTGGGGCTCCTAACCCTCCTTCTGGTGCTCCTAACCCTCCTACTGGGGCTCCCAGCCCTCCCTCTGGGGCTCCTAACCCTCCCACTGGGGCTCCTAACCCTCCCACAGGCGCTCCTAAACCTCCTCCTGCGCCTCCCAGTCCTCCTGTTGTGCTAACTGCGCCTCCCAGCCCTCCTGTTGTGCTAACTGCGCCTCCTGGGGCTCCTAATCCGCCTACTGTGCCACCTAGCCCTCCTGCTACCCTTGCTTGACCTCCTGATTTGCCTCCTATTCCTCCTACTGGACTGACTGCGCCTCCTCCAAGACCACCTGTCACGCTTCCTACGCGTGTGCTGCTTCCTTTTTTTCCGGATATGCCAGCTATCTTACCTGCTGTTCCAATTACCTTACTTGCTACCTTTCCTGCCTTTCCTCCCTTTAATGCTATGCTTCCAACTTTTGCTGCCAGGCCCAATAATCCAAGAGGTTGTGGTTGGCCACCCATTTCTTTTGATGGACCATTAACACCTCCTCCTTCGGGTTCTACCCCTCCTCCCAGCCCCTCATCAGGTCCTTCAGCTGCCATTCCCTGCCCACCAATTTGTCCTACCGGTCCTTCTATGTCAACTTGTAGATTTAATCTGGTTGCGCCGTTTTTTTTTATTGTTCCAGTGCCAGAGATAGTTAATTGAGAATCTTGGCCCACCTCTGAAACAATCAATAAATAGTACCCCTTTGATGAATAGAAGGTGAAGGTGATCGCGGATTTTTGAACCACGACTTTGCCTTGGTTAGTAAAAAGCAAGTTGGTCAGTAATTATCAGCCTTCTTGAACGAACAAGTTTATAATTTTGAGGTTTTCTACATGGCTAAAACCACCGACGAGATTTCACAAAAGGGTGGCAAGGTGAATTTAGGGAACTCGTCGTGTAATTTTCTTCTGCTGAATTAAAAAGGAAGATAATCACGCTCGGATGGCTGATCAAAACTTTAGGATTCGCTTCATATTGCTCGTTAACGGAGGTGGCCTTTCAATGACAAATAACTGAAAAGAGAAACAAAGAAAAGGGGAAGACATTGTAAAAACCTCCTTAAATTTATGGGTATATCAAATGTTTCAGTTCGATTCCTTTGTTTTTCTAAGCTTCACTATCGAAACTCGCAATCATTTTGGAGGGTCATGAGCGCAGTTATCATATTTCATAAAGCTTCAGAAAGGCCAAGTGGCAGTCGAAATTTTATGACTTAAAAGGTACAACTGAAATAACACTGAAAATTTGTTAATGAACATAAGAGAAGAAACGATCTACGACATACCTCCCCCTTCAACAGGGACTACTGCCCTTCCCCTGAGAGTTCCTGCCCCCAGTGGTGGAACTTCTCTCATAGAAGTCATACGCCCTTTAGAAAGAACGCGAAATAAGCTCTTGAGTTACAAGCCGTCAAGAGAATAATTCAATAACAGTTTTGAGTAGTTCTGGTGCAATAAGATAAAAATAATAGCAGTATCAGTGTGGGTGTAAAGCAAGTGCTAGAAACAAAAGTATTAGCTGTGACAAAAGCAGTGGCAGTTTCTGGAGCAGATGCGTAATGAAAGTAATGCGTAATGAAAGTCGAACCTTTTTGTTTCAAGAAAAGGTTTCCATTTTATTCAAATTTACTTTAATTTCATATCACATCACCCTCGAGGCTTCACGAGTATTTTAAAATTTTTCCTTGGTATATATGAATGTAACTCGTAGACGTATGGTCAGTAATTATTCTGCGATAAAGGAGTAGATTCCCAACACCTTGAATTTCTGAGCAGGGTTTTGAGCGATATTTTGATAGATCGATATAGATATTATTCCAAAAAGCCTATTTTAAACTGAACCTATTTGTATGAAGAGTCAATGGTCAATTTTTTTTTGCTCTTATTACCTCTGAAACGTCCTCTGTTTCTTCGATGTCGGGCTGCAATGTAGAATAAAATTATTACTTGGGAAGACGAAAAGAAATGTAACGTTAAACTGGACGAGTTGCTTCTGTTTTACCTCCTTCTACTGCTACAACAGCCAACAGAAGAAAACGAAGCCACATGGCTTTAAATCAGTCCTGATTGAAATAAAAAAGACGAGCGGTTAGCGAATAAGGAAATTTCTGAAAGAAATTTCTTGAAACGTGGGAAAACTTTCGATTCTTAGTCCAGCGGGTTGAAATTTGACCATAAATCGATGATCGTGCTTGATTCAGATGAGAGAAGGGATCAAATTCAAAAGTCTACACACGTTCACAAGTATTGGATTTCATTGATTTGAAAATCAGTGAAGGACCCTCTGCGCATGCCCGGACGAATAAGTGCGGCGCTTTATCATAATTAGCACTTTGTCTTAGTTATTTTTAGCTAAAGAAAAACACAACGCCCGAATGTCCCCGTTCACAGATCATGTAAATGTGTAACTTATCTTATCCCTTCTTTTGCCTAAAAATAAAGGAAAGATTGGAGGCAAAGAAATTTATTAACCTCAGGATCAACAAACGTTAAATTCTTTGTCAACGACCAGTAAGCAGGGCGGCTTCGAATTACAGTGAAATTGTTCTCTAGAGTTAAAACTGATCTCAGATTCACTTACTTATCTCAAAGGTTGATTGCTAACTTTTGAAATAGTGTATTTCGTCTATCTCACCAGTATGACGTTGGGTTTTTGTCACCAGACTAGAGAGAGATGGAATGCTGCCTCCTGTCCTTTTTATATAATGAGATAAGCCTATTAGTGGAGCCCTATTCCCCTGGTCACTAGACTAAAAGGTTATTGGCTCGTTCTCAAGGATAACCTGTTCTTCTCCGAAGTTCTGAAAGTCAATTTCTATTCGTTTGGCGATTCTTTAAGTGGCTAGGTGGTTTATTGAAAGTATGCTCTTCAGAAACCAGATAGGTTAATTACCAAATGTTCACATATTTATATTTCTTAGAAAGCCTTCATATCGAGGAAAAATTTACGTATTTTTATTTTTTTTATTCTTTTATATTTTTTGCCATTAAAGTTCGTTATTAAATGTTTCATCAAGAGGCTCTGGCTTGGCGAAAAAGCTTGAAAACAGACTAAATAGGATTCAGGGGAAACGTTTCCGAATATGTGAGGTCATGACCTTGTATTGTGACAGAGCAGGTAAAAACTTCTCCTTCATAGGCGGAAAATTTTTAACCTTGTATCTTGAGCTATTCCTAAAGCTTGATGAACAGGAAATACGCAATTCCGAAATAAATACATCTGGATATCTTTAAGGACCATTCTTGTTGAGCTCTCTTTCAGAGAAAATTTATCTGACCATACCTAGATTCACAAAAAGCAACAAATATTTGTCTTTTAAAAATTTAGGATGCATACAAACAAGCAAATATTGAGGAGAAGTAAATCGAAATATATTTATAGCATAGCATGATGGGAACGAATTACTCAGCGAATAACATTCTGATGGCACGTTGAAGAGGCTCGCGTGGCATCATGGACGATTCGGATTATTTAAGCGTTTCGCGGGAAAGTTAAGTCATTTCAGGTCTGTCAGTCTTATGTTTGACCACTTTTTTTTTTGTACTTGTTATAATTTTGGTATTCCAGCTCCCTGTGAAATATGATTAAGATCATGCGATTTGTGATTAGTAGTGCAACCAGGTTAGTTTACCCTTTCCTCGAGGTATTGTGCTGCTGTATTAGATGACAAATACGTTTCCACACTTTTTTTGGCCCCATCTAAAGAGTGGTATTTTAGCAGTTTTTCGTATCTGGCGTACGCTAGTCTCAGGGTGCACATGTTAAGATTGTATCAGGATGCGTATACAAGAAGACTGCCTGAATCATCCCAAAAAAAGTTTTTCACATTGAATGTCTCCGGTGAGTATAGTCAGAATCTGCCCTTTTCTTCTCGTGATATATGGAAAAATCCCATATATCTCGGGAGACAATTCTGAAATAATTCCTGTGAGTTAACACGATTTGAGCAAGGTTTTTTCGAAAATTATAACAAAAGTGGTGATCGGTGAGTATCGATGATGGTGATAACAATGATAGTAAAATTTAAGAGAAGAATAATTCTTGTTACCCAAGATTCATTCACGTCGGAAGTATAGGTACTCTGAATTGATTTGAATTTTTCCCGTTTGCCACATTGACCTACCAAGATAACCAAATGTCTTTTCACAATAATAGGTTAGCCTCTTCAGAATTCTTTCTACAGAATTGAATCTATTATTGCAATAACATAAGTTTTTTTTTTTTTCACTTAATTTACTCCACTCATCGTGCTTTTATGAGTTTGAGATGGCGAGGTGCCGCCATCTTTGAAATACGAAAATGATCATTGAGATTAACCTACTCGCCGCGAGTCAAAATTTGCCGCGCATCGGATTGAAAATCTGGGGTCAACAATCTCAAGTCTTGCCACACAGCTGTGTATTACTCCCCTCGCTTCTCTGACTGTCTACGATTAATGTAAATTACAAGCATCATATGACCCGGCCCCGCTCGCGCAACCCTGTAGAAAACCGGGAAGATTTTACTCGTTCTCTTTTATATCCCACAAAGGAATAGTGCTTTTTCGGATGTTTTTTCGATGTTGAGCTGATATGATTTAGGTTAAATTTAAGTTTTCTCTGAACTTTGTAAAAAGTCTTTACAACCTCCCTTAATTCAAGAATGTTTTATTTAAATTTAAATTATATTTACTAATTTATAGTCTGTCAGAGTAGTCCACTGAATATCCAGATTTCTCTAATTCCCAGTTAAGCAGTAAACGTTTAGTCGTCAGTTGCATAATTGAAACCGTTATCTTTTAAAATTTGATATTACTGTCGTTTGTCTCAAGGTGCTAGAGATTAAATCCGTATTTTGTCTTTTTTTTATCCCTGCTTCTTAAAGAGACGGGGCATACCAATTAACCCGAGTTTCACCCATTTGGTCTCCCTGTGAGAGTTCTGCAGGTAGGTGAACCTTATTGATATACTTCAGGTTCCATGTTATCGTACACGAGGTTAGATTGAGGGCTGACTGTTTCGTGTATTCTTAACTGTACATAGAGTTTCCATAAAAAACTGAAGGACTTTAAGAAAAATAGGTAAGCAAAACCAACCGGGGACGAGTGTTTCAGGTATGATCCATTTCAAACTCTGCCCTATGATTTGTAAAGCTTTTAAAATTTGTTTCAGATATCAGAGGCGACACAAGTACCAGAGCCTTTGCTTCTTCTACATATTAAATAGGTGGATTCTTCTGTTAGCGGTAAAAGTAACGGAATGTTTGTCTCAGCACAGATATATATATATGAAGAGTTCGGATAAAAGGAAATTGACGAGTTTTCGTCCGAAATCAAACTACGAGTCTCTTCACAAGCACTGCAATGCAAAGAAACTTTAATTCCTGTTGCTACAGTTGTAAACAAACTTTTTCTTCCGCAAAAGGATTGTTTTTTATCGTTGGGTATTTACTGAAAAATATATTAAATTTTGGTCAAATTCAAAGTTCTGCGGTTTTCCTCTAAAACCTAATTAACACATTCTTAAGCGCGCGACTTGAAAGAAAAAAACAGATTGGAACTGAGCGGTTTTAATTATAACAGAATTTATATTTAATCATCTTGTTGGACAAAGTCAACGTTACTTGTCATGAAGTTGACAAGCGAACTCATATGACTCCGTTCTTCCACAAACAGAGTTATTTTCAAAGTTATATCATTACAAAAAATTTTCAGTGTTTAAAAATTGCCATTTAGATGTGAAACACTTTAACAGGGTCACTTGTTTTTACAGGTAAAATTCCGATGAGGCCAACCAAAAATATCCGATGTGTATTTTTACAGGTTCAAACTGCAAAAGCTTAGCATTGGGAAATAATTTTAGATCTGATCTTGATAAGAACTTTCTTCCTATATCCTTAACCCTTTGACTCCCAAGATCTCATTAGTAATTCTCCTTACTGACTACCATACAATTCTTATGATTTTAGTTCAGAGAATTTGATAATCCCCTAATTGATATTTCTCGTTATTCTTATCACTTGTCTGCTTGAAATGACATGGATATTGTGGGGAGAAATTCTGTCTTGGTCATTCATGGGAGTTAAAGGGTTAAACTAAATTGAGTTAAGTGCGCATGTGTGCATAATTCAGCTATGAGCTATGAACATTTTGCGGGTTTCAATTTTTCGTGTCGCACTCGTTCCGCAATAATAAATTCTCGCGAAAACAAAGTCTCGCTTAGAAAACCCCTTCAGAAGTTTACCACTATACATGTTGAAGGGAAATCTTGGTAACCTTCATGATCGCATTCTGTCGAAATATCCATAAACAAATCGTCTACTGCGTTGCTGCCCTCTGCTTATCTGGAAAAGTCAGAAGTTTGAAACCGTAACTTTTTCATTTTAATACTCTGCTGCTTGAGCAGAAAATTGCAAAAATTTGTTTTTAGGGAAAACTTCTGTCGACTTGAACCGCAAAGAATCTGTCCCTACCACATAAAAAACATGAAGACGTTAGTAATGGAACAATATTGATTCCTGACAGCAGACTCAATGTGTTTTCTTTCTGTCCTCGTATTTCCAGGGAAAGGTAACGCTATGAAGCTGCTCTTGATTTCAGTATTACTGAGCTTTATTTCCAATATATTCACAGGTAAAGTTTTAACGCTTTCACTCCGAAGACCTCATTTGTAAATCTCCTTACTTTCTGCCACACAACTTTTACGTTGTTGGTTTGGAGAACTTGGTATTGAATGAACTTATAATACCCTGAGACTTATGCCCTTTGATACTTTCTTTGTTCTGTGCTATTGACACAAGTTGAGTTTCGAAATCTTTTTGCTTTTGAAAGAATCACCAACTGATCCAGAAGTTGCAGGAAATGCTCCAATCGTGCTCCCTACTGGAAGTAAGTTGAAATAAAGTATTTGCAGCAGTGATATAGAGACACTAGCAACCGTAAACAACATATTTGAGATGTCTGCTGTGTATGTAAAGAAATATCTGTCTTTTATCGTTGAGTTCTTACTGACTGATTGACTGACTGCCTTGCTGTCAGACTTAAGGGCTGACCTATTGACCAGCGACTGACTGGCTGTCTCGCTGTCACACAGACAGACAAACAGACTGACTGCCCTACTGTCAGACTGTCTCGCTATAAGACTTACGGACTGACTTAGTGACCGGCTATAGATTAATTACAAAAGTCTCACTGTCAGACCGGACAGACTGATCGACGACTGACTGACCGACTGACTGTCTGTCTTTCTGTAAAATTGGTTAATTGACTGTCTGATTGCCGGAACTGGTTTTTCAATTTTTTCCAATTCTTCCTAAATTCTCCGCTTAACGTTTTGATGTAGTCGAGGGCTGACAGACCTTCCTCCAACAGCATTCTCTCAACAAGAAGTAAACGGCCTGAAAGAACACAATCGGTTCCGTGCGATACATGATGCGCCGCCCATGACACTTGATCGTGAAATGTGCAATTCCGCTGCCCAGTGGGCCAAATACATCGCGGAACAAGGCTCTCTTGAACATTCAACTGAAGATCAAAGACCTGAACAAGGAGAGAACCTATCTATGGGATGCTCCTCAGACAAGGCTCAAACAGTAAAGGAGGCTGTTGCAAACTGGTAATTTGAGTACAGTTCATACAGTGTCTGCTTAAAAAAACCGGTCTATATCGCAGTGGTATATCTAAGGACAGGTGCGACTACGCTTATTACACCAAAACCTGGACCACGGCCGAGATTGTTTTTAAGAGACCCTCTCCTCATTATTTACTAGTAATTATTGTTTGACAAGGGCAAACACGATGATGAGGCCGAGCGAAAACCAAAATTGAATGGCAGAATCTAAGATGGGATTTCAGTTTTCATTCATCTTAATTGTAGGTATAACGAGCTTTGTAACCCCGGCTACTATGGACTAGGTGAGTTAGAGACTGGGCCTGATGAAGCAGGGCACTTCTCGCAGGTGGTGTGGAAAGAGAGTACCAAGCTTGGAATCGGACGTGCAGAGATTGAACAAAATGGTATGAAATGTGCTTACATCGTTGGCAGATACAATCCGCCCGGAAATGTTCAAGAATCCTATAAACAGAATGTTCTCAAAGGGTCTTTTAACCGAGAAGTCTACTGCCCAACAGCTGTGAAAAAAGATGTGATGAGAGCGGATTAACTCGATCAGAGAGTGGCTTACTACTATCAAGAGAAAATAGCGGAGTCCAATTAATTTCCATTACTGCCACTTATAATCATTCGATTGTGCGATGATAAAACGACCAGTTAAGCTTCGAAATCACACCTGCTCCCAAATTGAATGGAACGATGGCGAAGAAAGTCACAATCTACCTCTGAAAAAATTCCTGGCCAAACCTTGTCAAGGCCCCCTAACAGACTTGTGGTTACTTGATGACAAATGATAGTAGTTTGAGAGCGCAGCAAATCCAAACCCGAGGAAACTTCCTGTGATTTATTTATAATGGTAGTTGAACTGAGTGGAGTACAATTTGGGCTTGAATTATACGCGTGATTTCAAAGTCGAACGGGCGCGCAGCGCAAGTTCGATTTGAAATCACAAATATGATTCCGTACCAAAATTGCACGACACGAGGTTCAATTACCACCTTATTACATCCATTTTGAAATTGTCCAAATACAGGACTTGGTCAGTTCAAACATTTTATTGATGCAGTACTGAGCCGGTCTGAAATTAAATTCATGTCCATTTTTTTTTTTTGCAAAAGTTGCAAAATTTGCCACATGATAATCTTTGTCTTTCATTTTCCTGCAATTTGAACGGTTACTTTAAACAAACCTTAAAATCTGATTGGTTGTTTTGTTTTTAGTGTAGCTTCCTCATTGGGGAGGAAAAAGATGCGATTTAAAGCAAAAAATGGTGCGATTCGTGAATAAATCGCATCAATTAGAGCCAATCAGATTACAGGGACCATCAGTGATTTCAAAATGGGTGTAATAAATTCATTAATTTATTAACTGTTTATGTGCAATTTAGAATAATTTCTGATCTTTGTCTTTCCGCTACTTTCTTTAGGACGGCTAGTAAAGACTCTTACTCTATGTTATTTCTTACAATGAAGAATTACGTTTGAGACATCATTTAGGTTTTATGTTTTAGTAATTCTTTCCGGTTAGATGTGATAACCCTTTGATTCAATGCATTTTTCATTCCCATTCTCCCTATTTCTCCGTTTCACACTGTTTTGACCGGGGGAATAAGCGCGTTTTTGCTGGAAAACAGTTACTTTTTAGCACAAAATTGCAGGCACAGTTGAGTGATCGCAGTATTCCTCATAATTCCGTATGTTGCGTTACTCTGTTTCATTCATGTCCGTTGGGCCCAAACCGCAGAAAAATCCAGTTGACAAGTAGTAATCCACGCAGTTACTTTTTAAGGCCATATCTAAACATAAATATTAAAAGTTACCACATCTTGACACAAAACCTGCGGCACAACTACAGCGAAAAAGGCAAATTATCAGTCGGTGAGAGTCGGTGAGGGGTTCCGGAAAACGGAAACAAAGACCAACACGTGGATTGTAATTAATGCGTGACTGATACGATGATTATAATAAAACAAAGATAATGCCTAATCAAGAACTCTGCAAACGAAGATGGGACAAACAAAAACTAATTCAGTGTGTATAATATAAAACTTTGTAATTAAAAGAACTAATCAAGCCAAGTGGCCTGTGTAGATGAAATTAAAAACAAAAATCGTTGCGTGACTGGAGGCCAAAGAACACGAAA